AAATATTTTAAACCCTTTTCTCAAAGACAAAACTCTCGGATTGACTCAAAGTAACACCCATTTATATTCTGTGTAAAAGAGGCCCAGGAGTGAATCTGGAAATATGGAAGAGGGCAATTTGAGCACAGACCCTCTGCTGCCCCTGCCCCCTACCCTACTTCTGCTCTCCTCCTCAGGCCCCATCTCTGTAATAATTACTATAGCATTGTGGGCACACATGGGCGACTCCAAGAGGGCTTCTCATATTTTAATTTCTATCAGAATCATTGGAGTGATAACCAGGGAGTGACCACATGTTGATGGACGGGGCAGATTTTATGGGAAAAGATGTAGTCCTGCTTTGTGGGGGATGTTGGTTCCCCTAACAGGTCCTAGCTCAGCCACCTGTGAATGCCTTACGGAAATGGTGTGTGCCTCACTGTGGCTTTTATTCCAAAAATGCCCTACTGATCCTGAGCATCTGGTGAATTTAAGGGCATAGTGTTGGTCGGTTGCCTGGCTCGAAGTCTCCATGGTGGGGAGAGAGATAGAACTTGAGTAGATAGGGACCGAGAGCAGAGAGCTTTCCCCCTGCCACTCACCAGTATAAGAATTTTCCAGTATCTGCTACACAATACACGGTTGCAGCAGCAACTGTTGAGTATTCCACAACCATCTGGTTTTCTACAGCTGAGGGACTCTAATATCTTCCAATGAATAGCTACTAAGGGAACAAAAAAAAAAAATCCAAAATGACATTTCACACTCCTACTTAGATCAGTAGACCGAATAATCCTATGAGGATGAAATCAGAATATGAAAACTACATTTTGTAACTTAAAAAAAAAAGTGGCATCATATAATTTTAAATTCAATTGATGGGACCTCTGCTTCAAAATAAGAAAAAATAGCCTACCTCAGGACAAGGCTACTGCCAACCACTAGAAAATAAATGGCCAAATTGCAATATCATATTTTTGAAACATGTAGGTGCAACAGAACTAGAGGACTAAAACTGCAGAGATGAGAGAACCATTTGGATGTGAGCTGATGGCCACCAGTCATTTTCTATGATTTTCCTGGAGAAGATGCCAGTTCTATGATGGCTTGACTCAGGCACAGACCACTGTTTGGGTGGGGCTGGGAGAGGAAATGAGCTCTACTTCAGCGACCACAGGGAACTGGAATGACAAATTCAAGACCTGAAGGCCAGCTTTCCCAAAACACTGCTGAATTCTGAGGCTGTTTGGGAGCCAAAGCTTCTGAGAAGAAGAAAATAGTTTCCCACAATCCCAGTAGAAATCATGGCCTAGAAATGAAGCAAGAGATGACAGCCTCAGAGAAAGCTGAGGTTCACCTGAGAGCATTTACCCATCCTGTGTGAAGCCAGAGAATGAGAATAGTAAAGGTTGAAACCAACAAACAAGAACATTGTAACTGGGAAGAAACAAGAAAAAAATCAGAATAAAAGTAAATATTTACTCAATATCTGCAGAGCTCTAAAAATATGGCATCTATAAAACACAAAGATGATTTTAAATAAAACAAGAAAAAGCTTGAATTAAAACTGAAGGACTAAAATTTTTTACTATGAATAATGTTATTTTATTAAATTTTGAGTGACATACCAGGTATTTAAGCACAAAATATAAAGGCAAGGAATTTAGGAATGTTGGAAAATAGAAATTCCAAGATGACAGGGCTATGCCTAAGTAGGAATTCACTCCCAATTAGTTTATCACATACCATTGTTCATTGGGAATTAATTTACCGAGTAATAAAAGTAGTATAAAGGAAATGATGGGCACAGAGACAAATACGGAAGTAAATAAAAATAGGTAATGATTTAGAAATGGGTCTGTTAACAGATAAAAACTTATTAAAATAAAAAATAATCATTCTCAAGCTTTCCACCCCATCTGGTGTGATGTGCCCAACGTTCATCCACAGTGAGGAGAGCTGTGCACCAACCAAGGCAAGAATGCTTTGGAGATTATTTTGTTTCCCATATCAATCCCATTTCTGTTCCTAGAAATAAGCTAGGGCCAGGCCAGGGCACCGAAGGAAGGCCTTTGCATTTTGGAGTGAAATGTGCACAATGAATATGATAGCTCTGCACTCATCTTCAAAGTCTGTGTAACAGTTCCTCTTGAGATGTGGAGACAAGACCATATTTTCAACAGCCTGATTTAAAATCCACTGTCTAACAGCTCCTTTCTTGAATATATTTTTTTAACCTCTGTAAAAGTCATGTCATAAGATAGGTATTAAAAACATGAGAATAACCAAAGGCAAATTATTTCCTGTGTATATTGCTTCACATTTTACATAAAATATTCAATTTCCCTATTGCAATATTTTTTTTAGATTCAATATAAACTATAAGTTCCCTGATGATCAGTGATGTTGAGCATCTTTTTATATGTCTATTGGCCATTTGTGCATCTATTTTGGAGAATGTCTGTTCAGGTCCCCTGCCCAATTTTTAACTAGATTGTTTGTCTTTTTGGTAGTAAGTTGTATGATTTCCTTCTATATTTTGAATAATAACACCTTTTCAGTTGTATTACTGGCAAATATCTTCTTCCAGTCAGTAGTTTGTCTTTTCCTTTTGTTGGTTTCCTTCACTGTGTGAAAACTTTTTAGTGATGTTGTCCCTTTTATTTTTTTCTTTTGTTTCCCTTGCCTATGGAGACATATCCAAAAAACACTGCTATAAGTGATGTCAAAGAGTTTACTGCCTATGTTTTCTTCTAGGAGTTTTATGGTTTTGGACTTTTCATTTTAGTCTAATCAATTTTGAGTTTACTTTTGTATATGATGTAAGAAACTTTTCATTTTTTTTATGTATCTGCCCAGTTTTCTCAACACCATTTATTAAAGAGACTGTCTTTATCCCATTGTATATTCTTGCCTCCTTTGTCATAGTTTAATTGACCATACAAATGAGGGTTTTTAGTGGACTCTCTATTCTGTTCCCTTGATTTATGTCTGCTTTTATGCTAGTACCATGCTGTTTTGATTACTACAGCCTTACAGTATAGTTTTATATCAGGTAGTGTGATAACTCCAACTTTGTTCCTCTTTTCTCAAAGTTGCTTTGACTATTCAGGGTCTTTTGTGGGTCCCTTTATGTCTAGAGATGGGCAAGTCTGGTATTGAAGGCTAGATACAGGGAGAGACTTGTTTTTCACCTGTATTTGGTATCTTGGGAGGAAGATGCATTTCACTGCCCCACACCAACGTGTGGCATAGCCACCGAAAAGCAAAGAAGCATGATTAGGTAGAGGAAGGTGCATTTAGCTTCTCAATGCTGATCTCAGTTCTCATTTGTGGCTGAGAGGAGAGCCCCTCCCAGGGTCCACACTGAAGGTTCTAGCTGGGTGTATCCCTCAGTCAGTTGCTTTGTAGGGGATGGGATGGGAGACAACTGAGGCTCCAATGGAAACAGTCAGGGGTGGGCAAACTTTTTGACTCGAGGGCCACAATGGGTTCTTAAACTGGACCGGAGGGCCGGAACAAAAGCATGGATGGAGTGTTTGTGTGAACTAATATAAATTCAAAGTAAACATCATTACATAAAAGGGTACGGTCTTTTTTTTTTTTTTAGTTTTATTCATTTCAAACGGGCCGAATCCGGCCCGCGGGCCGTAGTTTGCCCACGGCTGGAGATGGAGCCAGTTCAGCAAAAGGAATATTAAGCAATAATAAGCGAGTTCACATTTCATCATCGGAACATAGACTAGGCATTCCCATACAGACTAGCAAACGCATTCAGCAGTGCACACTCAACGAGTGAAAGGCCAGCAGCTGGTCTATTTGCCCCCAGTCTTCTGATTCCTATTCTTCAGACCTTCCTCCAAGTCAGAGAAAGAAACAGGGGCAATAGGAAAGGCTCAGTGAATGATGAGCCTTTTAGAAAGAGACAAGTTTATTTCTCATATAAAGTAAGCTTTATTCATTAATCAATTAGTAGGTTTTCATTTCTCCCACTAATTAATGGGGAGGGGGGTGTTGAGGAAGACCAGGTATATTTTTAACTGAATTAAATTTTACAAGTTGGCTCCACTTGCAAATAGCTAGATGTAAGTTTATATAGTGCCTTTCTAATGTAAATTTCTTTATCTTAAAATCTAAACTTAAATAAGAAGCAGTATTCCACACTATATCCAAAGATCTTCAAGAACTATTCCTCTAAGTACAATTTTATACTTGGCTTTGTTCATTTAACTCAGAGGGAAATCACAGCTTTATTGCAGCCTGATTTATACCAAGATACTACTGTCCAATGCTGTGGGCTTTTCTGTGGTTTTGCTGCAAATGTCTACCCAGAAAAAAGTCAAAAGCCCTCTTCGTTGCCTAGACTGCTTGTGGCTTTATCTAAGCTTCAATCACAGGCAATCTCTTACTTTCCTGAGAATATTTGTATAAATTTGAGTGCAAATCTTGCCTTGTCCTTTCAGTTTCCTTATAATACAAATCATAATGTTTGACACCGCTGCCCATGTTTGCTTTGTATCAAGAATTATACCACATTCATTGTTACCTCTCTAGGGTGAAAACATTTCTCAATGTCACCTCAATCACTTAGATAAAACACACATTTACACAAATCTATGTTACTCAAACCATTACTTTTACTTAATACACTGATTCTTTTATCAACTACCCAGCAAACTGTATGGCTTACAAGTTCATTTTTCTTGCAGATATAATTCTGTTTTCTGTGAAATGTATTCTGGCAGCTCCAACTGCCTTTCAGAAAGTCTATAACTTTTAGAACTGGAGTTGTTTTTGAATATTCAAATTGTCTTTACTATAGTATTCCACATCTATTACAAAAAATAGTAAGAGCTAGATGTCTATTGATTCAGGTATTGATTGTAAACTTCTTTCATTAATATTTCTAGTTAATGAAAATAGTGTTATTGATATTTAAGAGAAGGATTTAAAAAAATATACCAAGAGTTTCTTTTCTAAGGTCCCAAACTTGAATTGAACACATTTTGTGAAATAATTACCTGTTCTGTAAGTGCCTGAGTTCAGTTTCCAAGTTTTCATTGACTTCTTTCTGTTCATCCAGAGATTTCTGGAGCTTACGGATCTGATTCAGGACATCATCAAGCTGAAAGCAAAGTAGAAAATGCTTGACTTAAAATGATAGAACTTGTTTTTAAAAGGATTTCTCAATTTTTTGCATGGTACAGTATCATGCATAAGTTTCTTTTGTATGTATGCATGAATAGATGAAAATATGCATTTATTTTTCAATAATATAATGAATGCATATATTCAATAATAAAATAAACATCTACACGGACTCTAGAATATTTGACATCTTTTCTATCCAGGCACTGCCTCCCCTGCACCCCATTGCTCCTCTTCCTGAGTCACTGTCTCAAAACTTGTGCTTATTATTCTCATGATTTTGAAAACATATCGTATTAATATACATATGTATTTATGTGTGTGTTGATATATATTTAAGCATAGCATATGTGTGTTTATCCATCTGTATATACTAGGTATACCAGTTAATGCGGATTTTTTTCAATAGTTGGAGTTACACATATGTTGATATATATGTGATTTGATATGTATGCTATTTTGTTCTATTAACAACAAGCTTCAAAACTTCATATGTCAAATTTGCTGAAGGTGTTAACATCATAGATATTTTTATGCTTACACATGTCGAATTCTGTGCCAAAAAAAGAGCATTTGTGGAAAGTATTAATTCATTACTTTATTTTGAAGAAAAAGTTATTATATACTTTGGGAAGCTTATGGTGAACATGCTCCATCTCAAGATACTTGTGAATGCTGGTTTAAGTGCTTTAAAAGTGATGATTTTGATGTGAAAGACAAAAAACGTCCAAAAAAGGTTGAAGACCAACAATTACAAGCATTATCGGATGAAGTTGCGTGTCAAACTCAAAAACAACTTGCAGAAAGATTAAATGTTGCTCAGCAAACAATGTCCGATCATTTAGAAGCAAAGGGAAAGATTTTAGAGGAAGGAAAATGGGTGCCACATCAACTGAACGAAAGACAAATGGAAAACCGAAAAGTTATCAGTAAAATGTTGCTTCAAAAGCATGAAAGAAAGTCTTTTTTCCATCGAATTGTGACTGGCGATGAAAAGTGGATTTATTTTGAAAATCCCAAATGCACAAAATTATGGGTTGATCCAGGTCAACCATCAACATCGATTGCAAGGCCAAATCTCTTCAGAAAGAAGACAATGCTCTGCGTTTGGTGGGATCAGGAAGGTGTGGTGTATTATGAGCTTCTAAAAGCAGGTGAAACCATTAATACTGATCGCTACCGAAAACAAATAATCAATTTGAACCACTCTTTGATTGTGAAATGACCAAAATGTGCCATTAGGTCTCTGAATGGTTTGCCTCAAAACAAGAAAAGTTCTATTGGGACAGTATCCACAGATTACCTGAAAGATGGGGAAATGTGTAGCTGGCGATGGACATTACTTTGAATAAAGCACTTTTGATGTTTCTCTTGAAATTATCATGTTTTCTTTGATTACAAAATCCTCCATTATTAACCGATACACCTAGTATATTCCAAGTGTGTTGGTATGTGTATATATGTATAGTATAGTATATTGGGGCAAATATATATTTTTAAATGTATTTTTTATGTGTTTTTTTACTTAAACATAAAAAATGGGTATTGTGGGTATCATACTATATGTAATCTTCTGACACTTGCTATTTAAATTCAATTGCTAAGACATCTATATTGGCATCTCAATGTAGTTTGTCGTCTGTTATCCTATCTAATAAAGATGGAATATGCAAACTGACCATCACTTTGCAACAAAGATGGCGGTGCCCACAGCCAATAAGAAGGGAATATGCAAATTGATGCAACAAAGATGACAGCAGCCGGGCCAGGACGCTTGCGTTGTTGCCATGGGGACGATGCAGGCGTTCCTCCCTGGCCACTCCAGGCCTCTGGCAGCAGGGAAGGTAGAAGGCGGCTACTGGCTGGAACGAAGGTGGAAACGCAGCTCCCGGCTGGAGCAATGGGGAGCGAAGGCAGAAAGGTGGCTCTGGCTGGAGCAAAGGCAGTGCCAGCAGCCAGGGGAAGGAAGGCCTATTCTTGTGCAAATCTTCGTGCATCGGGCCTCTACTACATTATAATATTGCATGAATAAGCCAGGATATCATGCCACCCTCCTGTCCATGAGTATTAGATTGTTTGCAGCCTTATGCTGCTCTGAACATTCTTGCATATGTATCCTGATGCAAAGTATTCTCTTGAGATACACCTAGGAGGACAATTGCCAGGTTATCCTTTGTTGATGTTTAATTTTACAAGATAATGCCCAAAATTCTCCACTAATTTGCCTCCCAAAGACAATTAGAAGGGATCTGTTTGAGCACAGCTTTGCCAACACTCAATGTTGTGAGATATTAAAACTCTGGCCAATCCCTAATTAATAATGGTTTTTGATACCTCTACATTTTTGTTGGCCTAGTGTTTTTCTTTTGTGCCTATTTAGGTCTTCTGCTCATTCTTCTAGGAGCTTTCCTTTTAAAAAAAATTTTTGTCCATGTTAATGTTACAATCTTGATACTAACCTTTGGTCAATTATGTGTTCCAAATATCTTCACCAAGTATATATGAAATTCATAACTTATTTTTATACTTATTTAAGAGCTCTTTGAATGCTTATTTTATTAAATAAAATTTATCAATATTTTATCTTATAGTTGGGATGTATTTAATAATGTTAAAAATACTTCCCTAATCAAAGTTCAGAGAAATAATCTGTATTTTCAACTAAAATTTAATAGTTTTCCATTTGTCACTTAAGTCCTGAATCAAGCTGCAGTTAATTTTTATATATGAAGTAAATACCAATTTTATTTTTTCTATATAGACACACATTTTAATAGGAACATATATTGAATAAGTTATTCCCCTATTGATCTGACATATCAATCTGTCATATTAAAATTTTATATATTCCATGTATAAAGTTTCTTCTATAAAGTCTGCTTATATGTTCTACTGTGGGGATTAATATTTGATCTTTCACACTGAATTCCTAGAGCCTTCATTGTAAATCCTGATTTAACACAGGCCAAACTCCCTTTTCCCAGCAGCTCTTTTCCTCAGAAATATCGAGAATATTCTTGATTCTTCATAATTTTAAAAATAGCTTAGTAAATCCCATGAACAACCCTATTTGTATTTAGCTTAGAATTTCATTCTGTAACTTAAGTACATTTGATACCATTTTGAAATTTTTTTTTGTCTATGAACATGGTACATTTTACATTTTGTAAGTCATTCCTGAAGTCTCTCAATGAAGTATAATTTATTAGAAGTTTCACACTCCATTTTATTTGATTTACTTCAAAGACTTTTATATTTCTTCTTTCTTAAGTGGATTTTTCAAGTAGATATTTATTTGGCATGACAGTATCAGTTGCAAGGACTGCTCCTATAGGATCTAATTATGAATAACAGTGTCTTTTACACTTTTTCTTCAATTTATAATGTTTCAGCTTCAATTCTATCATTATGGATTTTAATATATGAACACTATATGGGATATATGATGACTATTTGGAAAGCTTCATCACGGACAGGTACTATTACATATTTAAGGAATATTTTGGTTGAACTATATGAAATACATTATAGTTTGAATAGAGTATAATACTTAAAATAAGTAGATGTTATTTTATTAAGGTCAAAAGTGGAGTAGAGATGTATATATCACAAGTCTTAATTAACATTCATGGTCTTTTATTCATCATGTATTGAAATATCTGAAAAAATATCAGAAAAAAATATCAGAGACACATATAAGCTCTTCCTGTACAATAATTTTTAGTATGATCATGACAAAGTCGAATTGACCTGAATGGTCACTACAAGTATTATTTAATTATAGTCCATCACTCTGATGGAACATTCTGCAGACATTTAAAATGTTATTTAAGAAAAATCCTTACAACATTGTGAGTAGTGCATAACATCTCTTATGCAAAATTATTTTAAAAAATAATACCGAAATACTGGTGGAAATTTCTAGCTGTTGATTTTTCTAAATCTGTGCCATGACTTTGTAAAGTTTGTAGTAAGAAATAAATATACTTTTAAACTAATTTTAAGTATGGTTTGGGTGCAATAAAAAGTGTCCAAGGTGCAAATAATGCTTCTGGTGCTGCTCAGGACTTTTGCATTTCCCCAGGGTCCTAAGTGATACTGATGCAGCCAGTCCTTGTAACACTCTGAGTAGAAAACACAGGTACCCTGGACAGAAGGATGGAGCTTTCCTTAAGTACCCCAGTATACCGGCTCCTTACATTTATCAATTCATCCAACTAAATTTTAGTGGTCATTTTCTGTCTCTAGCTCTCACCAGATATCTAAGTGATTAATTTTCTTTCACGTCTTTCATGTACTTAAATCTGAGGCCAAGCACCATATTTAATAATGTAAATGGCACCCAAAGCAAGAATGCTGATATGTTTTCTTTCTAAGAGTTAGATGATTTATATATGAACTGTCTTGGTCTTTTGCCACTGGAATGAAAGCTCATGTTTAAGGGCTTTACATTTAATTCATGTATAGATTTCACATGTTTGCAATACTGTTTGCATGTTTGTTTTTTTAAATAAGTGGATGCCAGATAGGCTAAAGTAACAAATGTCCTTCCACTTTTGTTAACAGTTTTGCCAAGAAAGTAGGGTGTAATTTTTAAAGTTCTATATCAGTAGTATCCTAAAACATTTTTATGTCAGGTAAATCCAGCTCAATATTTACTGTAAGTTCAAATAATTTCTTTATTCCTATTACTACTCTGGTAAGGCCCCAGGCAGTCTGGCAAAAATGTGAGTAGATTCCCAAAAATCTATGATTCAAAAAAATATATATTGCCATATCTATAATCTGATCAATCTGGCAGCATAACAAGGTCCAAGCTATAGTTGTAAGCCTTGGTGATATAGAGGCAATGACTTCAGCTAAAAAGACTGCAGCTACAATTCCTGGAAAATATTAATTTCTATCATTGAAACAATAAGGAAAATAATGCCCTGGCAGAGTAGCTCAGTTGGTTAGAGTGTCACCTGATATGCCAAG